CCACGACGTCGACGTGGAAGGACCGCGACTGTCATCGGCGCTGACGAGGGCGCGGGAGCCGACGAGTGAGCTGAAAAGACAAGCAAGGGAAAGAAGCATCCGCTGGCGAGAGACTTGAGATGGCTTGCTTGCGCTGGACAGGACAGGGGCAGATATATACGAGTCGCCCGAAAGTCGTAGGATGAACGCGGCAGACCTCATGCAGCGACCTGAAGGCCAACAGCCGACATGGACACGGCTCATACAAGCAGTCAAAACTACATTACAGTGGCACTGCGAGTGGCGGAGACATCGATCCATCTCGAGCCAGCAGGGGAAGGTCTCAGAGGGGCGTCTCAGGGCGGGCAGGGCTCGCGTAGGAGATCAGGCCGGCATTCTGGATGCACGAAGTCCTCGACGAGTAGGATTCCTCGGGTCTGGGAGGAGAGACATCTGAGGAACACCTTGGAGGCCCCCCTCGCCTTGTGAAATATGACATGTATCAATATGATTTGTATAGATGAGGTCTTACCTGCAGCCTCCCCTGCAATACCGGACTAGCCATTTTGTGATGCTACGCTTCTTGGCTTCCATGAGTTGTTCGTAAGGTACCTACTAAAGTCAAGTACCTAGTGACAGCTCGAGAAGATGGAGAGCCAGCATTTGATTGGCCATAAATCAATATTGATTTAGACCAATCGCGCGAGTGGGTCTCGCATGTCTCAAGCTCATGCAGTCAGTCGCGACCCTCGACCTCCCGTCCATATGACAACAGGAACTTCACGGTGAGGTCAACATCACCACAAGGTCTAACGTAGCGGTCAGGTTCTCCGATGCCACAGATCTGACTCACGCATCGAACTTCGCGGGAAGGTGCGTTGAGCCTTGTCCATCAAAGTCGCGCCTGAAGGTACACTTCACGCACAGGCTCAGCTACCGTGCCATCAACACAAGCCTCGCATCACGATGCTCACGCAAGTTTGCACCGCAAGGACTTTCAACTCATTCCCGCACATCAAATAAATCCATACCAGATCAGCAGATCCGTCATGGCCAGGTATCTCACGCCTGCCAAGATTGGCATACTATCCCTGATTGAGCTCTACACAGATGAGCATGTCCCTAATGCTGCCATCATCCCCGTTCTCTCCTTCATCACTTCTCATGTCCTCGACTACGACCCGGCATCTTTTCACTCCAGTAATGCAGCCAGCTGGGACAAGGCGAAAAAGGCCGTCAGCATCGTTGTATCGATCCAAGACTTCGAAAGCCTTCTCAACCCATACCCCGTACTAGTAGGCTTGCCGGGCAGAAAGCTGTGGGATAGCTTCCTCGACAGACTATGGGATATCAACTCCCTCCATGAGCTGCACTCGTTCTTTGAAAGGCAGTCGCAGGCAATGGTCAAGTCGAAAGAGCAACTGCGGCGACAGGGCGACGAAGAACCCGACCAGGCAGGGATACGCCTGACGCGCAATTCGCCATTTGGGACCTTCGTCAGACGCTGTCAGCTTGAGTTTTCGCGACTACGGTTCCACGATAGCACCGAGCTCTGGAAGGAATTCGTCAAGTACCGACAGCCGACTGTATCCTACAGGAGAAGACGGAACCCTTCCTTTGGCCGCATGAGCTTCGACCACGTCCTCGAGGTTGGTGAGCACGATGACTGGGACCCGGAAGGCGTCGAGACTCTTGCCTCAGTTGCCTACGGCAGCCTGCTGACGAGCGCCGAGCCATCGTCTCTTTCCGTGAGCACGGACGATGTCGAACTTTTACTCGAGTTCCAGATCGAGCAGATGCAGAGTACGTCATTGAGGTCACCGAAGCATGGCGCAGGGCGAGCGCTGACTGTATAGAACATGGCAACCGCGTTCCTGTCGAGGTTCAACACAAGTTCCGAGACGTCGTAAAAGACAGCGTTGTGGTGCCCAGCACAGCGCACTATCTCAGGTCTGTCTGCTGCCCTGGCTGACGATGCGTTCCTTTCGAAACTGACGTCTGGTAGCTTTCTCGATGCGTGGCGGTCAGGTGACTATCCCACATCATTCGATTATCTGCACCGATATTTCGACTACACGATGCAAAACCGAGATCGACTTTACTACCAGTATGCTCTCATGAACCTGGCCGTACTGCAAGCCGACTTTGGCTGCCACAAAGATGCAATTACGACCATGCTTGAAACAGTGTCGACTGCGCGTGAGAATCGCGACATGACATGCCTCAACTTCTCTCTCAACTGGCTTTTCCACTACGGACAAGCACATCCAAACTTGATCCGCGATCTAGAGACAGACAGTGTCCTCGGTGCTGGTAAGGAAAGCTTGGCATATCTTCGCGTCAAAGCCAAGGAGACCAACATGGGCACTCTTTGGAGTTCTGTCCTCATCAGCGAGGCAAAGCTGGGCCTCATGAACGGCGAAAGCGTCGCCACATCCCTCGAGCTTTTGGTGCGCAGCTCCCACTTGATCGTCGAGAAAGAACATGAAGAACATGTTCGGAGCGCAGCTCTCGATGAAAATGGCACTACTGGACCGGATCGGTCTCGCGCATCTATCCAACATGGAGAGTGAGATGTTTCTGCGCTGCCATGCGCGCCAGTCGGTCTTTGACGATGAATTGAAAGTTACTTGTCGGCTAGCTGTGCAGCTGGCAGAGAGGGGCAAGTACGACGACGCCTTGAAGAAGCTCGAGGCCCTCGACGAGAATGCGCTACGCTCCTGGAAACCAAGCCAGTACTGGTTCAAGTACCGAGGCATCATCAAGCTCACACGCGATCTGCGCCACAACAACCTGGACGGTGCTGAGCAGATACTCTCCCAGCTCTTGCAGTCCAAAATGGACGACATGGAACCAGACATAGCCTTCATGATTGACTACTTGCATATTGACTGCCTCAAGCGACGAGGCGATCTAAGTAGTGCCTTCGAGAAGGTGGAGGACATGCTTGAGGAGCTACAAGAAGAGAACCGAGACTTGTCACTCCGCATCCAACTGATGCTCGTCAAGGCTCATCTGTACGATAAGGCTGGACGACCGCAGCGAGGCTTCACCCTAGCCATGAGGGCTGCCAGCATGGCGTGGCGTGCACGGTTGGTGCCAAACTTGTGGCGTGCCATCGGTGCCATTGCCAACATACTCACCTCATTAGGCGAATTCCAATCGGCCATTGACCTGCTGACAGCCATCTTACCGCGAAGCCTGGAATGCGATTCTGCGAGGTTGAGCGGGACTTTATACTCCCATCTTGCCGATGCAAATATGGGCCTCGCTGGGGGTGCGCCAAAGGGCTCTGCTAGGCGGACAGAGTGCATGACCAGAGCGCTGCGTGCCGTGGAAAAGGCCTTCGATTGCTACTCGAGCGTCGAGGAGATTGTCAAGCAGTGCGAGATGATGGCCAAGAAGGCAACGATTATGCGCGTGGCGGGAGACAAGGCCCTTGCCGCGGATTGTGCAGCAACATATGTGGCCCTGCGTAAACATGCCGCCGTGCTGGCAATGTAAGCGACTCTAATTCTAGTGCTCCTCCGTTCTCTTCGTCGCGTGAGTTGAAACACCACTGATCAGTGCATTGTGAGGAACGGCTGGACCATTGAATCACATCTGGCACACCACGCGTCGTTTCACCGTGGGTTCAAAGTTGAGGACTGGTTGATTGCTCAAAGTCTAGGAAATCATGTACAGTTGTGTCGGTCTGCTCCGCTCTTCTGTTCCCGCCCGCAACACACAAAGGCAGCATCTCCACTGTCTGCTTGCTCCTCGCAAGGTCATCCAAAAAGTACCATGGCCTCCGAGTGACAGAAAGCGACCCGCTTATTTGTCCTTGTTGTGGTAGTTGACATCGTCGTTCCAGCTGTGAGAAGAATATTAGCAAGTGAGACTTGGCAATCAGCCTACAGGGGACCGCCAGCGCTTGGCCGGAGAAGGACGGAGGCGTGCACAAGGCCGCAGCCCGTCTTGTCGGCAGCGCCCGGCTTCCAACATCAGGTGTGGTTTTCGAGGTGATATACGTACAAGATGGTCTGTCCGCATGTGTTAGCTCGCGTCTGATATCCAGGTCAGAAGGGAAACATCAACGTCTTCTTACCTTGTCTCCGTTGCCCCAAGAGAAGTTCTTGGTGCGAATGTTCTGGTAAGAGTACTCAGTGCGCTCCTCCAGAGGGAGCATGTGGCTCCAGTGCTCCCAGTGCTCGTTCCACAGGGAGTAGGCGTTCCAGCCGGCGAGGCCCAGGGCGGGAATGCAGGCGCTACAATTTCCATACATTAGCCAGTTCTCAAGCCCACCACCTCAGAATACTCCGGCCTCCATCGATAGACAGAATCGTGTCCCATTGCCATCGGATTGGCGTCAATCGATCGTGGACTATCGTGTGGGGAAATCGCTCAGGAAAGTGGCCCGATGGGCAAGGGAGGCCATACTAGATGGAGATCTTCTTCCAGAGCTCTGCGCTGGGTTAGCAAACGTCTAACAAGGGCAATTGAGTCTCTCGGAAGGGGTTGGAGAGCGACGGACCAGTGGTACCGCTGGCGTGCTCCTTGGCGTGCTGGCGCTCGCTGATGAAGGCGTTCTCGCCGGCAGAGCTGGCAAGACGACGCTGGGTGGGAGCGCGCAGCTGTGCGGCGAAGCGCGGCGCGGCGCGGAGGATCTGGCGCTGGGGGAGCATTTTGGTGTCGTTGAACTGGCGGTTCAGATGTTCGAGGATGTCGTGATGATGCGAAGTTCAACATCAGGTCATGCAAGCTCGGTTATTGAACGTCACTTGTTGCCTTACGATTGAGGCACGCAGTACACCAGACTCGCTGACTCAACCCATCTTGTGTGTCTCTGATTAGTCAGTTCAGTTGTCTTTAGGTCACATGACGTCGTGCGATTGGTCGCGTCACTGTGGACATACTCGGTGCTCACTGTCGGTGACATGAACGCGTTCGGTGACCCGCTCTTGAGGCAAAGGAGCAGCCTTTCCACGGCCTCGTGTGCCAGTCATTCGCTTGAAAGCTGATCAGGGTTGAGTTCTATTAGGCTTTCAAGTATCCCGCCAGCGCCGACGACGGGTACAACTTCCTCACTCAGCCTCCAATGCCTATCCCGACCATAAAGCGAGAATCCATGCGCTGGGGCGAGAGAGCAGAGGGAACGTGAGCTTAGGCAGCCATATCTTTCCATCAGCAAACAGGTCATTATCAGTCACCATGCCGCGAATTACTACTTGGAACGGTGAGTCATGTCCGAACCGTGTTTATGGCTTCTTCCGCTGACCAAGGTCAGTCAATGGCATCAGGTCCGTAAGGCGAAGACCATGCCGCCACTTGCTGGTGCTGAGGAAATTACTGCAGGAACCCATTTGGGTATCAGCCATGGAGGGAGAAACGGACATTCGAGGTTGGTCGACATAATCGCAACCCGCTCTGTAGCTGTCCCACCTGACTATCCCCCAGGCCATGTTCGACATACTGGAGGCAGACATAATCATCTTCCAGGAGACGAAGATTCAGCGTAAAGACCTCAAGGACGACATGGTTCTGATTCCTGGCTGGGACGTTTACTTCAGTCTTCCCAAATACAAAAAAGGCAAATTACTCACATCCCCAAAGACTGACAGGATTCGTGTCTAACAAGCAGCAGGTTACTCCGGGGTGGTAATCTACACGCGGAATGCCACGTGCTGCCCCATACGTGCAGAGGAGGGCATCTTTGGCGTTCTTTGTCCTCCAGACTCAAGCACCAAATTCCGAGATTTGCCTAAAGAGCAACAGATTGGCGGCTATCCAACCGCTGAGCAGCTTTCCAGCGACATCGATGAAGCCACACTCGATTCAGAAGGCCGATGTGTGATCCTCGAATTTCCTGCATTCGTGCTCATTGGCACGTACAGTCCCGCCAACCGCGATGAATCAAGACAAGAGTTTCGCCTGGGCTATCTCTCTGCACTGGATGCGAGGGTGCGCAACCTTGTTGCCGCGGGTAAGCAGGTCATTTTGACAGGTGACCTGAACGTCAGCCGATCCGAGATTGATACGATTAACCTTTCTGAGCAACTGCGCAAAGAGGACATGACAATGGACGACTGGATGGCCATTCCCTCGCGACGGCTCTTCAATCAGCTTCTTTTCGAGGGTCAAGTTCGTGGAGATCGCGATCCTGGGCGCGAGCAACCCGTACTTTGGGATATTTGTCGCTGCTTCCATCCAGATCGTAAAGGCATGTTTACGTGTTGGGATACCAAGCGGAACACGAGACCAGCCAACAACGGCGCACGCATTGATTACTTGTTATGCTCCGCGGGCATCAAAGATTGGTTCATCGACTCCAACATACAAGAAGGACTCCACGGCTCAGATCATTGCCCAGTCTATGGTACTCTGGGGGACACGGTCAAGGTTGACGGCCAGGGATGTCCATACACTTGACCTTCTTAATCCACGGGGCATGGTCTAGTATGGGTAAGCGATTGCGGGAATGGTCGCCAAAAGACTTGCTCCCCATGTCTGCTAAACTGATTCCCGGAATTCCGACGTTGTCGCAACCATTCGCGACATGTTCAGAAAAAAGCCGGCTCCAAGGCGCCCAAAAAGAAAAAAGTTCCTGAATCACCAGACACCCTCGCCGAGTTCAAGCCAGACCAGACTCTGCTAGTGCTCCTAACACGAGACCTTCAGCTCGATCGGACCAAGGTGTGGCATTGGCAGAGCCTCGGGCCCAAAGAATTCTGAGAGTAAACCCTTACCCCTGTATTCTCCAACAAAGGAGGCGGCTCGCCCTCAAACATCGAGGCCACCAACAAAGAGGGCAGCACCCACCACTCAGCTGTCGAAAAAAGCATCCAAGAAGAGCAAGACTAACGACAGCCAGTCAGCTGCAAAGGGAAATGCAGGGTCCATGGCGCAGAGCACGCTCGTGGGCTTTTTCAAACCCAAGCAGGCAGCCAGAGATGTGACACCAGCGGCTGTCAGCAGTGCCGAGCCTCCATCGCCCTACCAACAAACAGCAGCCTCGAATGAAAGTAGTCCCACAAAGTCACCAGCTGTCCGCGTTGCCACATCATATACGCCAGATGATCAGACTCGATCGCCAACAAAACCGGGGCCAACGTCCTCGACATCCTTGTCGCTCTCTGCAATGGACAGTGCTGAAACTGTCTTCGACCCAATACAGGTCAAAGAAACATGGTCAAAGCTTCAGCTGGGCAAGAGGGTGGTGCCGAAGTGTGAACACGAGGAGCCATGTATCAGTCTTCTAACAAAGAAGCCTGGCGTGAATTGCGGTATGTATCTCTAGTCAGTACAATCCTGTCAACGCTGTCAACGTTGGCCTAGGGCCTCCTGCTCTCCTGTCAACTGCGTATTGACTCCTCAGAACCTGCTTGGCGTCGATCAGTCCCTGTCTGGTGACAGAAGATCGTCTGACAATCTCTCCGCTCATGAAAACCGTGCTGATATTTTCTGTACTGCAGGTCGTTCGTTCTACATATGTGCTCGGCCATTAGGGCCCTCTGGCGAGAAGGAGAAGGGGACGCAGTGGCGTTGTGGGACGTTCATATGGAGCAGCGACTGGAAGAAAGGCAAAATATAGCTCGTTCCGTTCCAAAATCGTTTGTCTCCTTACGTGTCAGGCCACAGGGCAGGCAATTCCATCCATATCACCACATATGGGCGCCAAAGGGAAATAAGCCTACATGGCCTACCTACCCAGATAGACCAATTCATCTATACTTCACCTGTAGAACAGCCATATAGCTTCTGCTGTGTGTTCCTAGCGTAGTGCGTGCCTGGTCCCCATGACCCGTCTCTAGGACTAGCCACATTAGAGCCTTGGCCATTTAACTGTGTGTAACATTTGACGTCAATCCTTTAAATGATCACCGCCTGCCCGAACAGCTTTATGTATATCTGGTCAGGTACAGCTCAGTACACAAGTAGCAGCAGGTATGTCTACGAAGCGTGGGCAACATGTAGGCATTTTGTTGTCCTCTTCGCTGCATCCCTTAGCTCCATAAGCGATACATATTTTCCTGCCACTGGGCCATCGACTATTCAAAGTACCGAGGCCAAACCTGAGCACACAAGGGACCCATGCCCCGGAGCGGCATGCAGTCGAGGAAACAGTAAAGCGGCAGCCTGGTTCAATCGCCACGGGTTGTTGGCGTAATTCCCTTCAACCTTTTCCCACAATCGAGTAGCATGTTGGGGTTCTGCAACCCATGGCAGAAGACCAAAAGAAGTTATTGAACCTCTCGCTTCACTGGTTGTCTCAAGGCTGCCCGCACTTTATAGAACAGTCGAGCGATCATCTTGGTAGTGCAACCAACAATGACGGGCGTCAACTCCCCACTCTTGAGTAGATAATTGCTCGGCACAAAGGTACAGAGAGACTCTGTTAATCTGGGGAGGGAGATCCTACTACCGAATGAAGAAGAGTGAAGAATGATGCTTCCTCTTCCAAGGTAGGAAGAGGATCCTGCTTTTAAATGCAGACACGGCGGTGGCCTCGCCAGGAAGATACTCAAAGTGAAGTTTCATCTGGTAGGTCCAGAGGCTGCGGTGGTGTAATTACCTTGAACAGGAACATCCCCCTCCTGTCACGCTGTGCCTTCTTGCCCCCCATCTCGAAGATTGGCCCTAGAATGTTCTCACTTGATCGACACGTAACACTGGCAGATAGTGAATTTTGGCGTGATCTTTTGGATCACGATACTGGCTTTGAACTAATATCTGCCGCCGACCTGATCCCGGGTCTTCACCGGCCCAGGAGCCCCCAGCCGTCTCATTCATACCCAAGGCAGGCTACCGGCGACAGAGTCAAAGATTGAATACCACTGAAGGTACCGCAACTGATGCGAGGGCTAGCGTTCAGAAAATTTATGACTCTCCGAGTCAAGGAATCATTTTTACAACAAATTGCGACGCAAATGTGGGCACGGCCGCAACCGTGCCACAACGGTACCGTACAGGCAAGTCCGATCTGGTAGGTCCATGGACGCGCGGTTGGGAAGCTACCTTGGGCATGAACGGAGTCTACCTCAACATGAGCACCTTCTCCATATTACGTTCACCCTTCCTAAAAGATGGTCTGCAGGTGGTTCCTGATGGGTGGGGGGTCGAATTTCAAGGGTACTGGAAGCCGAGATACCTTGTTAGATGGGGAGCGTCTTGATTCAAAACCATGCGCCCTCGATATTCGGTGTCAAATTGCGTGACTCCCCAAAATGCACAATTGAGCTGGTCGATCAAATGACCGATCACCTTTTAGGAAATCCATGGTTTTCTTCGCACCAGGGGGGGGGGTTCTGCAAGTATTGTACCGAGGTATTTCTAGCCACTATATGCTGGCCAATATGGCATCGGGAGACGCACTCGCGATAAAGCTAAGCAATTCTCTTTCCGCAGGTCCTTTACCTCCACGTTTAGAGGCTCTGAATTTGTAATCTGGATAGCGCTCTTTGTGTTTCTGGGCCTCTGTAGCGGCAAGAGTTTTGTAATGATCTTTGACATCGGTGGACTCGTTTCGCCACATGGCAGCAATCGCTTTGGCTTTCAGACCTGTTAGAAACAAATTTGAAATATGCATACGAGCACTCACATATTTCGCCAGCTGACATACCAGGACTCTCCTCGTGGATGCGACGGGAATGAGCCTGGCGGTAAAGAATCCATGAGTTGGGAGGACGGGGAATATGCTCCTGCTGGTTCTTCCCTTTGGTAGTGCTTGGGAAGTCGGGGTGAATTGGCTGCTTGAGACTGGTGACTGGAGGAGCATGTTCGATAACAGAAGCTGCGAATGTCAGTAAGATTTACTGCCCAAGTGTAGAAGACGCGAGAGCCCACCGTTATCGACATGAGGATACTCAACTACAGCAGTCATTGAGGCGGCAATTATCCACTGACAATTATCTTGATCCATGATCAGTACGGCCGGAAGGCCACTGCGCTCACTAGAACTGACATTAGTTGTGACTAGCCAGAAGGAACGGGGGACTTCCTCACGATAGTTCATCTGTCGCGCGCTTGGCAGCCTCAAATGTGATCTGTAAAGACAAATACATTCTTAACTCTGTCCTCGAGTTATTGAACACAAATGCAGCTTGGCGTTGCATTTCACTCATGATTGTGTTGGGAATCTGAATGTGTGAAGGTGCTTGCTGTATGCAGATGGTTTTGATGTTCCTGGAAGTTGTGATAAATAGTTATTTACTGATAGGCCAGCACCTCGTTCTGAGCGGAGATCTCGCGGGGAAATTGGCGGTGGAACGCTTTCGAGCTCGGTGAGCGGAGGTTGACAGTTTCAGAAGAGGTGAAGCGGATGGTATTGCAATGAGCTGTGGAAGACGCCAGCTTCTGAGGTATCGTGTGGGAAGAAATTGGGTTGAATGTTGCCTCGAAAGTTTTACAACACTTATGTGAGGTGCTTTCCAGATGGTTAGCTTCGGAGACCAAGAATTTCAGTATGCCAACTGTAAAATAGGCAGGCACGCAGCAGTCTCCAGAAGAAATATACTTAGGTACGTCGACAATACGGCCTGGTCTTTCTTTTAGTCCATTGTAATGGACACGATTCACTGTATGTGTGCTCACTCCGTCATGACCCTGGATCCGAATTTCGTTCCAAGAGCGTAACGGTGGGTAGACGGATTGCTATTTCATGTGAGCCACAACTTTAGGAGCAAATTATCATTCCCAGGTGCGCGCACTTCAGAAGATTGAATTCGAGTCGAATAGCAGTACCAAAAACTTCTTAGCAACGATGTCCCTGTCTCGAAAGAACATCAAGTTGTGAGCGTGTTGTGTGGCGCCGTAATTCTGCAGCTTTGCTTATCTTGGCGAAGTTAATCCTTTGAGAAAATACAGATTCTTCTCAAGGAGCATAATATAAACATGAAGAGCAGGAAGTTGAGTGCGCCGCGATGTGCCGACCTGACTCAAATCCCACTGCCTACTGGGACCAGATGCTGGACACAGTGTCTAGTGGCACTGTGACCGTCACTGCCTTGTAAACCACCTGCCGCCGGGAAGCAGAACTACTGGGTGTCCCAAGACGCTACAGGTAGGTGCGCACCTGCCGTGGTACCTTGTCTATTCCACAGGCCTATTTCTACAATCTTTTCATTCTACAGCTTCTCTTCTACAACTCAGCTTTGGTCCCACCAACGCTCGTCCCCTCCCAGCCTGAAAGACCCTCCTTCTCCTCCCTAAATACTCGTATCATCTCTTGGACCGTCCAACATAGAATACTGCTCGTCGCTTTCAGTCTCATCAGATTCTCCCGACTGATACACCACGATCAACCAAGCCTGAAGCCCTCGTTTTCAAAATGGACGGTGTCCGACCTGAACATGACTTATCCGACATGTCAGTCAGATCCAACCTGCTGGCCTACCTCGCTACTCTTCCCCCTCAACTTCTTCTGGAGTCTCTCACTCAGCAAGACATCACGGCAATGTTTCAAGGACGCACTATGCAGCAGATAGCCGCTCGAAACCCCACCATCGACTACAACACGCAGTTTCAAACTGTATACGGCGCCACCTTTGAGCCACTTGTCGTACCCTCTGCTGTCAATCAAGCTGTCGAGATGACAGAACCTATCTCCCCTGGAAACGTCAAGGCTCTTCGCCCTCTGAATGCGTTCATGGCTTTCCGCTGTAAGAACAACCGATATTAACATTCTTCGTCCTGGTCTCGTGTGCTGATGATTTAGCTTGGTACGCTCGCATCTGCCCCGAAGCCCAGCAAAAAGACGTGTCTGGAATAATCACCAAGCTTTGGGAGAAAGATGGCTTGCGCAACTCCTGGACTCTTATCGCGAAAACATACTCCACGATTCGTGATACAGTTGGCAAGGACAACATTACGGTCAAGGGTTTCTTGCAATATGTTGGACCAGTCATGAAACTGGTCGCCCCTCTCGATTATCTGAACACCTTCAAATGGACCATTACCGTTGTCAATGGCGAACGGGTTCTTGAGCAAGACCAATCCCTTGCCGATATCGCGATTGCTGAACACCAGCAACTGGATGTTCCCAACACTGAGCTTGAGCTTTTGGAGGAGGTACTTGAAGCAGGCTTCATGCCGGAACGTGCTTCGACTCTCATGCGAACCATGACAGGGAATGCCAAAGGTGTCATGACCACCAAAGCGCGCAAACGAAAACTACGAAACTTCATCGACACGATTCAAAGCGATCCAGTTGGTGCTGCAGCTTCTCTTCTTGGTGACGACTCCTTGATCAGCGATCAATATAGCGTCGAAGTCTATTGGAGTCCAGAAATGAGCTCAATCAACGATTCCACTGTCCTGCAGCAAGCTCACGACTGTGAGGGTTCTGCGAACACCTCAAGCGAGATGGAGGAAAAGAAAATAGTGAACCAGGCTGAAGAGTCCACCCCCGACTCAGACCATTTCCATGGCGATGGTAATTTTGTGGATGGAAATTTCGTTGGCAATTCTTACGACATGGAGGCCATGCACTCCTTTCCCATTGGCGAATGTCAACAGCCTCACATGATATACGACGACAACACCCACGAAGCTCGTGCCTTTCATGTTGGGCCAAACTTTCAATACTCTATCTTGATGAATGAGCCCTCCATTCAGGAGGAGACTGATGGTAAGTTTTGTCAGTCACTCTTGAATGATCCTCTTGAGCCCCGCTAATAAGATCAGTAGACAGCGGTCATCCAATGCATGGAAGTTTTGAGGATCACCCTCAGTTCGCTTCATACTTCTGAAAGCATTGTAAATTCCTGTATCTCAGGAACAAGGATGACCGCTCTGATACGAACCGACAGACAGATCGCTCCTGGAGTTTTTGGCTGTCAACAAACTATCGTAGAAACTTTTGCCTCGCACTTTTTTGCGGCTGTGGATATCAGTTGCGTCAGGAATATGACATCTCTCTGGGGGGTGGACCAAGACCACCATGACCTGTTACATAACAGAGTTCTGATGATGAGCTCGCTCACCAAGCAGCCAGCCTACCACTGCCACTAGAGCATAGTTACGCAGGCATTAACGGCTGCGAATAAGCAATGAGAAAGGTCAATCCAGGCACGCTGCGTTTCAAATGACTACTCAAATTGACTGTCTACTTCGTTGTAGCCTTCATGGCGACATGAATGGGCAGTGAGAAGCCCCCGTAGCAAGGAACTAGATGTCGAGATTAACATACTGAGCCAAGACATGCTAATGCAGCACTAGTTCAGCCTCACCAGGCGTCCAACGTGACCGCGACTGAAAGGGGCCCACTGAGGAGGCCGATCTCATCGAGACTACTCAACCCAGATGGGGTAGGATGTACAAGTGGGGTGAGATGAGCGGGAGCGAGGTAGATCGATCTAACTGGAGCCAGCCTTGAGTGGGAAGCGGGCTGACCGCAACGACGGCCGGCGGCCTTGCCTGGTTGCAGTGAGACACAGATCAAGGATTCATGCAGGGCGTCTCCTTTTCCCTGGCCGGCAGTACCTGGCCACCTATACTGAGCAGCGGGAGACTAAGAAGCAGGGTGAAAAATGCAAATACTGGGCAACATGCCTGTCCTAGCCTCGTCGGCAAAGCAGGGGTGGATCTTCTCGAGGCGGGGGCGGCATTGGATTGGCATGAGGGTTGACTTTGGGGGGGGGGGGGTTTGTAAGGACAGTCGATTTTAGAACGAAACGGGCTGGATCGACGGCGCCACTAAAGTACGCACAGTGAGGTCGCCAACGCCAACGCACCTGCAAGACGGGCTACATCAGACGGCGGGAGGCCATTGATGGTGCACGGTTCTCCCCACTTTATAAGCGTGAACATGTCTGGCTAGGCGTAGGCCATCTGGATGATCACGGGGGAAGTTGGCAGGTGGGCATGGCTCAACTTGGAAGCCTACTCATGCCTGAGCAGGCCGACTCAGGGCAGACAATCATCAGACTTGACGAAGGGCCCGACGACCGTGGGCTTGCACTTGCAAGCTCTATTCATGTGACGTGCAGCCATGTGTTTGGCATCTCTTCCCAGGGCAAAGGCCCTCTCGTCCCGTCTGGAGCATTTGTCGACAAGTTATCTTCCCTCCTCGAACGAACCCCTGTTGTGCAGAAAAAGAGCCTGCATGGTACTGCACAGACGGACAGCATATGAATGAGTGTGGAAGCTATGGGGCCATGGCAGGTCGAGCATGCTGGCGTGGCCCCTCTCCATTGCACTAGCGCAAGAACAGATCCAACATGACCACATCTCCAACCATCACGAGGTCCGGCAAGCGTGGGCAAGGTAAAAGGCAGAGAGGACGTGCAGCCACATCACCAGTTCTTGCCCACGCCGCTGCAGCATGCCTCCCCCCCGATTGCCTGTAGAAGCACCCTGTCCAGCCCTGCCTTGCCGACTCGCGCACTAAGACCAGTCTGGCGTAGTGCGTAAGGATCAGCGGTCGATGAAACCAGCGAATGAAGTTGAACATCATCGTCTCCCTTTTGTGTAACATGTCAGGGTTCAAGCAGTAAGCCTGGGTTCGCTCGGCGCTGGCAAGGTCTGGGAGGATTTGGCAGCAACGCCACGAGGGCCCCAAGGCCCCGTGGGCAGCCCTTTCCCACTTCCGACCAAGGCGATTGGGGTCGCCCCTGCCCATACAAGACAAGGTAGCCATGAAGGAGGTGCCACAGATCATGACGAGGAACCCCGACGACATCCTCCTCTATCCGACATCCGTCGTTCTCCAACAACATCACCACTACTTGCCAACCGCGCTAGTAGTGGCACTTCAGCACTCCTCTACATGCACCTTTCTCCACACGAGTAGGGTACGAGGCCGACATGACGCTATCACCGCTACTGGGCGATGCAAACTAACGTATCATGGCACATTACCTGCCTGTGACCCTGCTCGAAGTATCTACTGTCAACACGCCCGCCAAGACCAAGAGTTGAACCTAATGGCACCTTTTCTATCACGTCTCATTTCTTTTTGTCCTCTAGAGGATGGGCGGCAACAGTTGGCATTCGGGTACTGCGGCGCCCGAAACTACTGACTTTCTTCAGCGGGGCCTATTGCTCAAAATGATGTCCGGTTCAATTGCTCCTATATTTCCACAGTCATGCCGATGCTGAACTCCAATTCGCGAGTTACGACAAATTACCCCCCCCTGATCCTTTGGCGCGTCTCGATCAGGACAAACTCCACCGAATCGCACGCCGGCCACATCTTGCAAGCAGCAGGCAATGGAGACTTATGCAACACAAGAAGCATCCGGGTGCGAGGATCCCCCAGCGATTCGTCGTAACGTTGCCGTGTTCCATGGCTGTTGGATGCGCAAGTTTCCTTCAGTTCGAAGTACCAATGCTGAAAATCCCTCTTCAAGCCACTGCCGCACAGTAGGAAACATTCATGACCAATACTCTGCTGTAAGGAGGAGGTCTGCTTATCTGGACATCGTATCGACCTTCAAAACGAGTTCATGAAATTGCGTTAGTCGTGTTTGCTCGAGCGAAGAGCCGCATGTAAAGACTGTTTGCTCCTTGTTGTGATGACTTGGTACACCTTTCCCTCGCGCAGACTTCTGATCCGGCTACCACCCCCCGAGCAATCCATGCAAGATTCCAGTTCAACAAAGGTTGCTTTCCACCGACCCTGGAATTCGCAGTGTTGGCCTCGGGGAAGCGGACACGAGTCCTATGCCTGTGCTTGATTGACTTCAGGGGATACGCTCTGCTTGCAGGCAGCGTCTGACCGTCACGGACGCGGAAGCTCCAAGACTCACACGCTGGAGCGATAGAGTGGGTGCTAGGACAAGGCGCGCGCAACCCTCTGCAAACCGCTTTGGACTGTGGCTTATTGAGAAGCACTCAGCTGTTGCAACTCGAGACACTATTTCATCGCTGTGAAGTCCGACTCCCCGAACTGCGCCGCATGCAAAAAAGCCCAGCGCCGCGATATGATCCTTATGATTGGCTTAGACGTCATGATGATCCGCAGCTTGTGTAACGACGATCTTTGGCATTCAATTTGGTCGCGGTTCACACATAGCTCTGTCGGAGTAGCCGTTCCACTGCCATCGAATCCAGTTGGTACTCGGCTCTCAGATTCCCCATTCTTCTTTGTCCGCTTTGGGCGTTGGATTGGAACCGTGACGAGTGCCTGGATGTCGGTATTGTGGAGGTTCGATTGGCACAGGGGCTATTTGGAAGAGCCTCGACCGCCGCAGGTACAATGCCAAGCCATCTCCTTCGCTAGGGTCGCCCGCCGTCTATCCAACCAAAGTCACATCTGTCTCCTCGCCTGTCGAATCTGAGGTGAGCTGCAGCAAGCGAGAGACTAGAGTGTTTACGATGGGCAAAAGTCACAAGGAGCTTGGCAGCAGTTGAGCAAAGTGCCAGCGTTGTTAGCTCCAAGGAATTGTAGCAAGACTATCCAGGGCAATGAGGAACGGGCAAAGAGAAAACAAGTCCATCAGGATGCCCCACCTCTAATGTCCAGATGCCACTTTACGTGCTAGCGTCAACTCGATTACTAATCGACGAGATAGTGGTGAACCATTCATTCCGTACTCACGATGCCGAGCATCGCTCACCCTTTCACATCGAGGGCAAAGCCAAATCGTGCTGCGAATGTTGCTATTTCGCAAGGCACGGACCTGTGTTGCGACGAAGCGGTAGCATTCTGGCTGCAGACCCTGATCCTCCAGCCTACATGAGACAAAAACATCATGAGTCATCCTAGGTTCTGTAGAAACAACGAAGCAAGCCGAAAATATGCGCAGCGGCTAATCAGCAAGATCCTGTGATTGCTGCATAACACAGCGTTCAGTCTATCAGGCGCTCTTGTACGCCCTGGTATGACGCTCTTTGGGCGAACTGGTTACGGGCCCACGCCGGTCAGCTTCGGGACCGGGCACCAGAGTCAAAGCCCGGCCCCCTTGCTATCTTCTGACAACTAGCCCAAGAGCTCTTGGCGGCTGGTCTTAGCATCCAATCATTTTCATTGTCCGGCACATGGAGGCCGGACGCCGTTGGATGATCTTGGACGGAAAGGTCGCAGCTGTGTGACGATGACTTCTGGCCCAACGACTTGGCGAAGTTTTGTCATCAAGGCGCATGCCACCACAAAGCGCCTCAGGTTTGCACCGCAGGAATCCGTTTTTCCTTTTCCCCATTCTATGGTCCTCTTCTCTTCAACATGTGATATCCTAGTGAAGGTCACGGGCCTATCATCTACACGTTGGACCTGTCGATGCACCGTCACATCTCCGGCTCTCTTTGTTGCGCGTCATAATGACCATGTAAAATTTACGCATCGCATAATGACTGTCTCCTAGGATCGTAGTCTCTCGCAAGAAAGGCTACCGAGCTGCATCTCCTGCTGCAAGCACATCAGGGCCCGGGAATGGCCCCATTGGTACACCGTAAAGCATGGGGTCTCCGACAGCTGGCCGTGTCTCATGAGAAGCTGCCAAGCTGCACTTTGTACATTCTTGGGAGACTAAAAACCTGACGACACTTCAACAGCGGGAACTCCTTAGCTCACACGTCGCTTCGCAACACTGAAATCTGACGCTTGTGTACGAACGACGCATGTCATATCAGTGCCGTCAAAGACCGATCGAGACTACGAGCCGGGAGTTCCGTCCAAGCGGCTGTGATGGAACATTCTTTACATGCTTCGCTCAGCTAACAAGCAGAGGCTAGAAGAAAGCATGTGGCTGGACGGTTGCAGCTAGGAGACGCCGGCTCAAGCTGAGCGGCGAAACGAGTGAGCGGCCAAGTGCCACGGAGGGGGTGAGAAGACGTCGATGGAGGGTGGACCTGGAAACACGCAAGACTTTGCCTTGTCCCAGACCACAAGCGAACCAACAAAAGCTTGGCTTGTATTTCGAATAAGACACTAACTCTGACGATCCTTACAAGAGGCAAAGAGGCGGGAGACAGGCAGCGGAAGTCCCGTGCCCTCTCCCGACTTCGACGCCTCGCCACTTCTCATCCCTGCCCCTGCCCCCTTCTGCGGAGGAAACGTTCCATCGCGAGACATGACTAGCTTGCCAAGATGGTCGCGCCTTCTCTTGGGGGAAACAGCCCTTAGCTGCGGGCGCTGATGCAGCTCTAGTCCTCTTGGTACGAGATTTTGCGCATCTCTCCCAACCTGTGTCGTGCTGCTGCAAGAGCATTTTCGAGTTGCTTGATCTCGACCTGTACAGTGCACGAAAAACGTCAGCATCTTTTACTTCTTCCGCTTTCTCACCTTGACAATTGCCCTCTTTTCCATCTTTTCGCGTGGGGGTAGATGACCGTGCCGCACCGGGTGCTCCGATGGTGGCGAGCGTCATCTGTCTCTGTGTCCGCGGGGGCCTGTGTTGGTTTACGTACCTGTTGTTCCATCTCGCGCACCTTGAACTCGTGGGCGCCGAGCTTGGAGTAATCGACCTGCTCCTCGTCCTGCTGGCGGTCCTTGATCATGCTCTGCACCTGGCGCACGAGCGCTCTGCAGGCCGCACCGACGGCCTTGCTCGCCGACTCGAGGTTTTCCTGGCTCTTGCTCATGAAGCCGGCCTTGACACGGCTGGCGGCGACGAGCTGGGCTGTCGAGGCAGCCACGTCGTTGGACGCGACGATGAGGTGCTCCGGGCTGTTGCGGTTCGAGAGCACACCGTCCGCAGTCTCGATGAGCGTGTTGGTCGACGACGCGACGGCTTTGGCCGCTGAGATGAGACCCTCGGTCCACCTGTTGTTCTTCTTGTAAAAGGCCTGTCGCGAAGACGAGCCCCGGCCCGCCTGCACAATCTCTTGCTGTGTTACCGTTGCCGCCTTGATGAGCTGCGCGATGGCATTCGTCACAGCCATGGCCGCATCAAGGATCGAGTCGTGCACCTTGAGTTCGTATGTCGAGTACCCGTCCCGCGGCTTGTTCCTGAGCTTGGCTAACCTCTGCACGGCCGCCGCGATGGCGTCGGCTGCCTTGCTCAGCTCCTGGTCCATGATGTCGCCGAGGTCGCCCTTGCCCGCCAGTTTGCCTGCGCCGGGCGCAAACGTCTCGACAAACTTGTTCAGCTTTTGGAGGTTCATCTGCACATCATTGTTGCTGTTGATGACAACGTCTGTCTTCTGGATCGGGTCCATGCCTTCGAGACGGAAGCTCTGGAGACCGCGGAAGAACTTAACGGCGGCTTGCGCCGACTGTCGGGTGCCGTTGAGGAGCGTGTCGCTGCTCTTCTCGTCCGTCGCGAGGCGCGTGAGACCCTTGGAGTTGCTGCACACATCGGCAATCGCACCAGCGAAAATGTTGATCGCCTTGATAAGCTCGGCGTGCGTACTGTTTGGCCCATCGGCAATAAAGTTGTTGAAGGCAGTCGCGAACTCCATGGCGTTCGAGGACGCCTTCTCGATCTGCGACAGCACGTAGGAAGGCGAGGCGTTCTGATTGCCTGCCTGCATTGTAGAATCCAGCTCATAGAGCGCATCATCCACGCGCTGAACACCAGACTGCAGCACCGAGTCGATGATGTCGTTGATCTTGTCAAGATTGGCCATGATGAGCGCATCAATCTGGCCGTCCAGAGCATGGTCCGTCTCGCCCTGATTCTGTCGCAGCTCGTTGAGCTCGATGAGGGTCTGGTCCATGCCCGCCTTGTAGACCTCGAGCTCCTCCTCCTTGTCGCGGAGAAGCTGCTCGATGTCAGTGTTGCCGTTGGCAACCTTGGAGTGCGCGTCTTCGAGAGCGCGGGACTTGATGCGCAGCGCCTCCTCGAGATCGGCCATCTCGCGGTTGTACTTGGACAGCATCGTGGACAGCTCGTTGCCCTTGCTCCTCTCCAGGTTATCCGCTTTGTCGAGGGCCATGCGGAGCTCGCGCTTCAACTTCTCAACCTCGTCCTTGCTGCTGCCCGACGCGCGATCCTTGTCGTGAAGGGCACGGTCTCGCTCCCTGATCATGTCGGCAAGCTCTAGGTTCTTCGTCTTGATCTCGCGCTCGAGCTTCTCGCGCCTCTCTATCGCCTCGGAAGCCGAGGCTGCCTTGAGCTGCACCGTCTTGAACTTGTTGAGTAGGTCGAGGTGCTCTGTGCGAAGCTGGGAGTACAGCTTGGCGAGCGCCTCGTACTTTGTCCGCCAGGTGTTGACCTGCTCCTGCAGGGCTGCAATCTGGTCATCGCGACTCGACATTTGCTGGCCGTAGTTGCCCTGGATCTGGGCCAGCTCGTTCTCCAAGGCCTTCACCCGCTGATCGTATTGCTGCAGCATCAGTTGGTCCTGCTCGTACTGCGACCGTGCCCGGAAGTTCTCCTGCTCGAGCTCGGCCAGCCTTCCCTGGGTCTGGTACTGCATTTGCTGCTGCATCAGCGCCTCTTGCTCGCGCTTCTGCTGCTCCATGAGCTGTCGCTGCTGTTCCTCAAAGTCCCTCTGGGCCTGCAGCGCAGCTTGCTGTTGAGCCATTTGCTGTGCGTTCTGCCTCTCCTCGAGCACTCGCTGTTGCTCCTCGTACTCTCGGTTCTGGCGGTCGAGTTCGCTCTGCCAGAACTCGTTCATGTCACCTGGCTCTTGCGACTTGGGCTCGGGCACAGGTGTGGGGTTCCGTTCAATCTCCTGCTTGGGCCGTGCCGGCAGTGCAGGAGCCTCGTCATCCTCGGCGCGTAGGTTCGGGGCGTCTTGCGGGAGTTTCGGAATCGTGATCAAGCTTGTGAGGTAGCGAAGGTTGGAGCATTCGTAATAGAACTTGGTGAGACGGTAGTGCTGCGCCTCGTATCTGCTGCGCAGGGGTTCGAGAGCTTCGTCATCGCCAGTCGTAGAGTGCATGGCGCGCAGCATGCTGGTGATGAACTTGTAAATTCCGTAGCTCTCCTGCACCAAGGGCACCAGGGCAGAGATGCGGCATTCGTTGTTTCCTGCATGTCGGAAGTGGGAGAAGATGAGCTTCTGGAACTGCTCAATCTTGTCCTGCAGGGTCATGAGGTCGGTGATGGTCTCGTAGCCCTCGTTCGGATCGTTGATCGCCCTCAAGCTAAGATATTCCTCGTACTCGAACGTTCCGTTGAACTCGGGATGCTGCTGATGGAAAGATAGCTTCGCCAAAAGGTAGTAGACGTACTCCCTGATGAGCGGGGCGTAGCCCCTGACACCTTCTCCGGCCAAGCCGCGGCCCAATCCATCGACCCAGCTCTTTTGCGACATGGCCTCCCGAAGTGTTGAAGGGTGGCCCTCTTGCAGAACCTTGTGGACGGTAATCAGCGCCTTGAAGGTTTGGACTTCGTCGGCGAGGAGGGGCTGGCTGTTAGGGAAATCTGGTCAGCACTGCACAATGCCATGTATGATGCTAGGAGAGGAGGGGAAGCGAGACATACACCTTCATGCCCGACCAAAACGCCTGGGAAGACCGATGGTCCCATGTGTATACAATGCAGGCACGGACATGCTTGCGCTTTGGAGCCGTCTCGTCGGCACTGGTAGCTTTCTTGATACTAACAGCAAGCTCCTGGTCGGTCCTGGTTCAGAGCATCAGCAGTCGTATAACGGAGGCGGAACGTGCGCGTTGCATACTTGGTGTGCGAAGTCTGCAGCGACGAAGACATCTTGGCCGATGGCTTTGAGTGGCGCTAGCCAAAAATCCTTATTGTCGAGAGGGGAAATGGCTGGAGACGGTATCACAGCGTCTCGGTTACGAGGGTATATGAGGCTCCGATTGCTGAGGGGCAGCCGTCGCCTTCCTCAGTTGATACTTCGTGACGGCAGCGTTGAGAAGGAAGCGAGCCGAACGATTCAGTGCTGCGAATTGGAAAGCAAAGCGCTCAGTGGCAGTCGTCAGCAGTGACGAATGTCAATGTGGGAGCTCCAGGATATTCGTGGTGGGCGTGGTGGCTGGGTGACGATGATGCGCAAGCTGCACGCTGCGCCAAGACGTTCATGCGCCCAACGCCAGGCTGCCGCCAATTGGAAGGTACCTAAGGTGGGTGGTGCTGGCTTCGCTCCCCATATTTATGGCTTACCTAACGCCCAGCCAGGGAACGAAATGCAGTTTGACAATTTCTTCACGTGGGAGGGAATTGTGTCTCAAACCGTCTCAAGGCATTGTAAATTTCACCAAAATATTGGCGACGCGGTGACTGCCGCAGGGGCACAGAAGGCTGTCGTCCTTTAGAAAGTTGCCGGCTTTGGTTGTGGCGAAGAGAGCAAGAGCCAGATTGAACCCGCTCATCGCCCCCATGACGCTTCATCTGAGTGGATGGTGGGGCAGTGCGACGACACCGTGCCTAGCAGAGAATGCGGCGGCGGTGTCACTCAGCAAAACGAAACAGTCACAGCTCTGGCAAGCGGCGGATATCCTAGTGTCTAGGCGGGAGCGACCGGTCTATGGCAATCTTGCAGTGTATGACACTTCAGTGCTAACAATATCATCGAATTTCTCACAAGGAACACGTCATTGAACTTATCATGTAGATACACGAGCCCACCCGCCGCGGCCATCTCATTGGGTGCAATGTTACAACATGAAGGCGGCTGCGGCGAACGGGTGCTGACTAGAGCAAAGTGACACGCTGGGCTGCAGGTTTGAATACCGAGATGCCATGGTTTTCATTCCCTATGGACCTTGCCGAAACCTCGATGCCTTTCCATGCTGAAATTTGTCCGATTCACGTGTAACACCCCATGCACAAGAAAAGCAAGTGATATCTTCCATTCATGCCGAAGACCACTGTCCATGCCGCCGCCCGTGACTCGGATGAGGGGCGGACCCTTTTCTATGGCCATCAAGCCCCTCGACGACATAGCGCATACGCCTTCCCAACCATTTTCAGCACCTCCCACAAACAACACCTTAAATCGTGGTCTCGTAGGCGAGGGGAGTGACGGTCTCGGGCACGTTCTCCTTGAGGGGGATGGTGTGGGCGTCGCGGGGAGCGGCAGGAAGACGCTTGAGGAGGACGGTCTTGCCCTCGGCCTGGGCCTCCTTGCGGAGACGGGCGTTCTCCTTGACGCGGCGCAGGAAATCGTCTCGGGACCGGGAGGGGCTGATGTGCTCGACGCGGATGTTGATGCGCTTCTCGATGTAGCGGTGCTTGACCTTCTTGTAGATGATGATGCCGACGGCGGACTTGCTGACGTTGTAGACAACGCCGGTCTTGCCGTGGTAGACCTTGTGGGGCATACTGTTCCTGGTGTTAGCAGCCGTCTCGGACATCCGACACCGCGACAGCTTCTGCGTCGCCAGGTGCGTAGGTGGTTTGTGGAAGTCGTCTTACCCCTTCTGGACAGCACCGTTGGCCTTGATATCAACGATGTCACCGACGCTGCAATACCCGTGTTAGAAATTTCCGTTTTCTCGTGTGCCGAGTCGAATTGTCGTGGTTCAATCGTACCGGTATTGCCTGAGGTAGGTGGACAGCTTGATCATGCCCTTCTGGCGGAAGTTCCTGGAGAACGCATACTGCGCGCTTCCGTCAGCGATTCGTTCAATCGAGAGTTGGTATTCTGAAATTGTCACATACACGCGTACCCGCGCGAAGACCCGCAGCGTGACCCATCTTGTCGGTATATTGTCGTCGGAGGGGTGGTCGTCGGTTTGGTGTTGAGGATCTTGGATCTTGAGAAGCGACGACTTGTTCAAGGCGAAAAAAATGTCGGGTGTGTGCGCCGTGCTTCGCAGGTGGACAGGGCGGTGCTGATTGGATGTCCCGCTCGCCGGAGCGGGGTGACTGCTCTTACCCTATGTTTAGGGCAATTCTTCCTCACGTGATACCACTGTGGCCCGAGCTTTCAATGCTGGGCTCCACACCGCACAACCAGTCTTTTTTCCAGTTCGTGAACTTTGTGGTCTGGTCGCAAATCCTCGTCAACCAACGTTTGCGAAGCACCAAGTCGGCAAGATGGCTCCGTAAGTCGACGACGATACCTTGGGCTCAAAAAAGACGCCTTGCTAACACACTTTGAACAGTCTTTCCTACTCCAAGACCTCGCGCGTCCCGCGTCGCCCCTTCGAGGCCGCCCGTCTGTCAGTATCTCCCGGCCACTGAACATGAGCTTGCTTCTGTTCATGTCGTGTGAGCGCCAAACTGACTTCGATATTCCAGTGACTCCGAGCTCAAGCTCGTTGGCGAGTACGGTCTCCGCAACAAGCGTGAGGTCTGGCGTGTCCAGCTCACCCTCTCCAAGATTCGTCGTGCTGCTCGGTATGTCCTTCGATTTACGAAAATTCGAGGACCAAGTCTTTTCGAGGGAAGGTTCAATTTCTAACACATCTTGCAGTCAGCTCCTTACTCTTGACGAGAAGGACCCCAAGCGTCTCTTCGAGGGCAATGCGCTCATTCGCCGTCTCGTCCGTGTCGGTGTTCTCGACGAGTCCCGTATGAAGCTCGATTACGTCCTTGCCCTTAAGGTCGAGGATTTCCTTGAGCGCCGCCTCCAGACTTGCGTCTACAAGCTCGGTCTCGCCAAGTCCATCCACCACGCCCGTGTCCTGATCCGCCAGCGCCACATCCGCGTCGGCAAGCAGATCGTGAACGTCCCCTCGTTCATTGTCCGTCTCGACTCGCAGAAGCACATCGACTTCGCTCTTACCTCGGCCTTCGGCGGCGGTCGCCCTGGTCGCATTCGTCGCAAGAAGGCCAAGTCGGCTGAGAAGAACGACGATGGTGAGGAGGATGAGGACGAAGAGTAAATCTGTCGTCAATTCAATCTTCTACAGGCTTTGGGTGGTTCTTAAAAACGCGTCGGGCGGTGGAAATTCCCACCATGGACATTGGGCGGTTCATACTTCAGGCGTTAGCCAACGGATCAATGGCATGACCTTCATGAAGCAAAACTTTGTCCACGATATCACCCATAAAGTTGTCCCATCATGTGTACTAGTCGCAAAAAGCTGTGAAGATGTGAAGGGTATCATTATTGTATGACTGTCATATCATCGCACAAGTTCGTCTTTGCCCAAGAACTTTGCCATGGGATCGTTTGCGGCTGTGCGCTTTTTTCTGTATTCCTCCATTTCAGCCTCAGAAACCCCTCCCATCATCTCCTCTGCCGTTCTCTTTTTTGCTGCACCCTCGCTCTGGGGCTTCGTCTCGAGCGGGTTTTCGGCCGGTTTCGTGGATGATGCAGCTTCAAGCAAGGCCTGGCCGGTTCTCTGCCGCTCAGAGGCATCCAGAGCTGCCTTCCCCTCTTCCCCTGTGCAGTAGCTGTTCTTGACAAACGAATGACAACATGCGTATCCCCATTGGAAGTCTGACCACCAACTACCCCAAACAGACGTGTGATTATGCATCAAGACGTCTTCAGGGTATTTTGACTTGGCAACGGCCTTCGGTGCACCCTTGATAAGACCGCTTTCGTCGTATTCGACATATCGCTCTGATTCGGTGACCATGTTCTTGACTTGATCCGGCATCTTGTACTGCGAGTCGTCGCCGTACATTTCGAGGAGCTTTTTCTCCTTCTCGATACGTTTCTTTTCAGCCTCTTCGAGCTGCTTCTTCCGGTAGAACTGACCGGCGGTAGGATTTGCCTGAAGGTGCTGGCTCGTATCGCCTGTCTTCTCTTGCGCCTCCCACGCGTAGTTCTGGGCCTTTTCGAATTCGCCTGCATCGCCTGATGCGCGCATGAAGCCCTCTTCGGCAAACATGTCGGCCGCCTTGTCATTCGTGGCGCCGCCATCAATGAGCGCTCTCGTCTTCGGGTCATACTTGGCGGAATCCAAATCGAGATTCAGGAGGTATTTGGCGGTATCTTCACGCAACCTGAGCTGCCGTGTCGCGGTGCTCTGGTGCTTGCTCATATCGTTTTCCTCGGCATACTTGTCGCCGTCGTTCGCGCCCTCGTCCTCTTCATCATCTCTGGCTGGCAACGCCTTCTTGCGCAGTTCTTCCATCTGGTTGAAGTCTTCCACGACACTGCGGTATTCCTTGGAGTCATATCCGTTCCACCGGTCGCGCTTCGCATCCCAGCCAAGCTTGACATCTTGAATCACTTCGTCCGCCTGGATGTCGCGCCCCGTCCACTTCGCGCCCTTGGCTCTTGGTCGACTAAGGCAGTCTTTTGCCTTATGCGTCATGGCGCCACAGTTTTCGCAAGCACCCTTTCGGTATTTGGTGGCGGCCGGGCCAGCCTTCCTACCGCGATCATACCACTGTGATTGTTCATTCTTCTTCTGCAGACGCTGATGCTCGAGGTAGTCGTTTTGTTCGTCGCCTTCTTCGCCGGCATAGAAGGGCCTTTTACTGATGAAGGAGGGAATGTAGATGTTCTCTTCTTTCGAGGCGGCTCCTGCGCCAGAACCAGTCTTGGAGTCCGGCCGACGTGGTGGCGGGGGTGGCATTGTGGCGGCAGCAAATAATATACTGACGATACAAGGCTGTTCTCGTTGTCACCTGGGCCTTGCCGCTTCAGCACTTGGAAGTATTTGCAGCAACCGCGTTTCCCTTTGATGGCGACAAGGATCAAAAAACGGCTGGAGGTTCGGGTCAACGATTAGATAACATCGAGCATCCTGAATGGGGAAAACTCCTTAAGTAACATGTATGTCACGTGATCGCGCGACTAAGTCTTGTCACGTTGGAGCAGGCAGGCAGTCATTTCACACTGGAGTCGCGTCACGTTCCTCCTGCAATTAGGTCTCACCCTGGCTTCCTCAATAATGGTGCCGCTCAGTAGAGCAATGCAACGTCCTCCATGATCTGAAAATCCCCGTCATGGACCTATTTCGGGTCAGGTTGAACTGCTTGGACCATTATCAAGGCACGTCGACGCGGTTTGATCCCCAACTACGGAACGATGTCCACCCCTCCCAAGCCGCGAAGGGACCAAAAGTCCCTATCGTGAGGGCTTTTGGGTCCACCGAGACGGGCCAGAAAGTATGCGCGCATATTCATGGAGCGTTTCCCTACATGTATGTCGAGTATAGCGGCAGCCTCGAACAAGATGAAGGTGAGGACAACCTGGCACACGGATTCGGTGTCGCTAATCAAAATAGTTGGCGCATACATCTATCGCTTACATCTTTCCATTGATCACGCGTTGGCAGTCAGTTATCGCCGTGATCAGTATTCAAGAAATGCCAAGTTTGTAGCACGAATCACTCTCGTCAAGGGGATCCCGTTTTATGGGTTCCATGTCGGTTACAGGTTCTTCCTCAAGATCTACATGTTCAACCCCATTGTCATGACACGCCTGGCAGATCTTTTCCAACAGGGCGTCATCATGAAACGGAAATTCCAACCTTATGAGGCCCATCTCCAGTACTTGTTGCAATTCATGACCGACTTCAATCTCTACGGGTGTGGATTTCTCGATGCTTCAACTGTTCACTTCAGAGCACCCGTACCGCGTTATACCGAGGAGGGGAACTCGCTACACTTGTGGCATGACCAATCAATCCCGCCAGGGAGCATCCTGGACGACTTCTACCTCCCTAGGGTGAGTCGTTGCGCAATTGAAGTCGACATCTGCGTTCAGGATATCACCAATCGCAAAGTAATCAAGGAACGTCTGCTACATCACGATTTTGTTGAACGCATCAAACCACTCCGCTCGGATCTAAAATTAGTCAACAGTATGGCCGGGCTTTGGAAAGACGAAACAAGGAGACGCAAGCTCCGAATGACAAATGCTCAGTCAGGCAGTAGCCCCTTTCCAGCCGAAGTCCTTGTATCCATGTCGGCAAACATTCGACAGACAGGACTTCCAGGCTGGATACACGAGGAGGAGTACCGAGAGGACCTAGAAAGACTGATCGATGCAGAGAGAGACCAAGAAGATCAAAGCCAGCCCGGCTTTGATACATTTGTCGAACAGCATCCTTTGGCAAACTCGGTCAAGACTGCTTTGCAGTCAGTCGAAGATTTATTTCCAGCGAATCTGATGCCTGCGCTTGGTTTGGTGACAGAGATCATCGCCCCCGATGAGAATCCAGCCAGCAGCATCGATGTTGACGAGCAAAAGATTATCGACAAGCACTTGCTTGATGCGAATGACTTCCCGAACGACTCTGACGAGGACTGGCTTCCAGCTATCAACTTTTCAACTGCTGCCGCGAAGGAGGGTTCGAGAACACTTCTAAGTGAGGCTGCGCCAACTCTCAATACTCACAGGGCGCCCAGGGAAGGGTCAAGTGCCGGGCAACGAGGTATTCTGCGGGAGACGACACCCATAATAGGGCCGTTCAAGGGCGTCTGCATTAGTCGGCTGACAACTGGCATCCCTCACGTTATCCCTATTCCAAGAGAGCTGCTTGCGATTGCGGAAGTCGACAACTTGGTCAGCAAACGGCGTGGAGCACGGAAATCAGATAGCCAGCTCAACACGTCTGTAAAACGACGACCCTCTGCTGTGCTGGGAAACGAATCGAAGCGCCCGAACTCCGGTCATACACTATCCCAGCACAACACAGCTGCAAGAAAACAAGAGGACAAGTGTAGGGTTCTGCCGAATGTTGCTTCCGTCCCCGAAACAAAGCTGCCGAGCAAGTGGTTGTCACCCACATTCAGGAGTTCGAGTAGACCCAATGGTCGACAGATATTACCGCCGGGGCGAGCCAGCCATGCATTGGGTTTCCCGGTTGTCAAGAGCCAAGACGACCCAAATACCAAGTTGCGTCTCAGTCAGATCGACAAAGACAACTTCTCATCTTCGGGCTCGCCAGAAAAACACGTGTTGTTCAATACAGTTGTTCTGTTAGCAGGAGGGAACGGCTCAAAAGTCCCGTTGGCTGGAATGACCAACGTTGGCAAAATTGCAGATGAGGCTTCGAGCTCGTCAAACACATCGTGCTGTGCTTCGAATGCACTGCAGGCCGTTTCTGACGGAAGAGTCATTCTTCTCATTGGGTCTTTGCCGCCCTCGAAGGCAGATGTTACCACAAGTCTCGGCGATGGCCATACACCGGACGTTATTTATCAAGACGCGTACTACAGCAATGAGTCGGATGTCCCTCTGAAACCTCGAGAGTATGCTGGCAAAGAGTTTCGTCTGGAGAGCAATACTTTACCTTACCTTCCGGATTTTGATCCTACGCGTGTCTTGCAAGGTGGTGGCAGGTACGAGGAAACGGACAGCCCAGCATTTGATGAAGCTCTCGGCGATGAGCAACGCGCAATGTGCTCCTTTAGAGGCTGGGAAATCGCCCAGCCTCCTCCCAGTTACAGAGAGGTGAAGATCTGGTGGGAGACAAAGCAGACAAAACGAAAGTCAAAGTCGGATTCCGCGCTCAAGTCATTGCAGAGCCCCAAGATGAACCATCATTACTCTCAGATTGATGGGCCAACACCACGAAACACTCACGGATTCAAGTATACCCAGAAGAAGAAGTCAAGTGGCATCAAACATGAGATTCAGTATATGAGTACAATGAGCTTGGAGGTCCATGTTAACACGAGGGGTCATCTTGTGCCTGATCCGGAGCACGATGAGGTCCAGTGCATTTTCTGGTCAATCAAAGCTGATGGCTCGATAAGCGTTAGTCAGGAAGCTGCCGGGGCCATGATCCAAGGCATAGTCTTGCTTTCCTCTGATGGGAGCTTGGCGGAGAGAGTACGACGGCAAACATCTGTCGAGGTAGTCGAGGAGATGGAAGAATTAGACCTCTTCGTGCGGATGGTGGAGATTGTGAGAACCCATGATCCCGACATCCTGACGGGATACGAAGTTCACGGAAGCTCCTGGGGCTACCTCATCGAACGCGCCCGCGTCAAGTACGATTACGATCTCTGCGACGAATTCTCTCGCATGAAAAGCAACTCACATGGAAGAATTGGCAAAGAAAATGACCGTTGGGGCTTCAATACTACGTCGACCATCCGCGTTACTGGCAGACACATGATCAATGTTTGGAGAGCCATGCGCGGGGAGCTGAACCTGCTACAGTACAGCATGGAGAACGTCGTATGGCATCTGCTGCACCGGCGTATACCTCACTATTCGTGGAGCACTCTCACGAAGTGGTACAAGAGCGGCATGCATCGCGATATGAGCAAGCTGATGCGTTACTATCTGAGCCGTACACGACTGGACATCGACATCATAGAAGCGAATGAGCTGATTCCGCGGACCAGCGAACAGGCTCGCCTGCTCGGCGTGGACTTTTTCTCAGTCTTCTCTCGCGGCTCCCAGTACAAGGTTGAGTCCATCATGTTTCGTATTGCGAAGCCCGAGAACTTCATCCTTGTCTCTCCCAGCAGGCAGCAAGTGGGCGGTCAGAACGCCCTTGAGTGCTTGCCGCTAGTTATGGAGCCACAAAGCGCCTTCTACAGCAGCCCAGTGCTCGTCTTGGACTTTCAGAGTCTGTATCCAAGTGTTATGATTGCATATAACCTGTGCTACTCCACGTTTCTTGGTCGTATCACCAACTGGAGGGGTATGAACAAGATGGGATTTACTGAGTACAAAAGACATCAACGACTCCTCGAGTTGCTGAAAGACCACATCAACATCACGCCCAATGGCATGATGTTCGCGAAGCCTGAGATCCGCAAGTCCTTGCTAGCTAAGATGCTTGGCGAGATCCTCGAAACTCGAGTGATGGTTAAGAGCGGGATGAAGCAGGACAAGGATGACAGGTCGTTGCAGCAGCTCCTCAACAACAGACAGCTGGCCCTCAAATTGTTGGCAAACGTCACATACGGCTACACCTCGGCCTCTTTTTCCGGACGCATGCCCTGCTCAGAGATTGCGGACAGCATCGTTCAGACTGGACGAGAGACCCTTGAAAGAGCGATTGCCTTCATCCACTCACAAGAGCGGTGGAACGCTGAGGTGGTGTATGGTGACACAGACAGCTTGTTCATCCACCTCAAGGGCAGCACAAAAGATCAGGCTTTCGACATTGGTAACGAGATTGCCAAGGAGATTACCGACATGAACCCGAGGCCCGTCAAACTCAAGTTCGAGAAGGTTTACCACCCGTGTGTCCTTCTCGCCAAGAAGCGTTACGTCGGCTACAAATACGAAAGCAGAACCAGGTCAAGCCCGACTTTGACGCCAAGGCATCGAAACGGTGAGACGGGACGGCACCCCGGCCGAGCAGAAGATTGAAGAGAAGGCCCTGAAGCTCCTGTTCGAGACAGCCGACCTGAGTCAGGTCAAGGCATACTTTCAAGCGCAATGTGAAAAGATCATGCGCGGCGCCGTCTCCATTCAGGACTTTTGCTTCGCCAAGGAAGTCAAGCTCGGCTCGTACAGCGACAAGGGCCCGCCGCCGCCGGGCGCCATGATCAGCACGAAGCGCATGCTCGAAGACGCCCGCGCAGAGCCGCAGTACGGCGAGCGTGTGCCCTACGTCGTGGTCACCGGCGCGCCGGGCGCTCGACTAATCGACCGCTGCGTGGCCCCCGAAACGCTCCTGCGCGACTCGCAATCACAGCTGGACGCCGAGTACTACATATCGAAAAATCTCATCCCGCCGCTCGAGCGCATCTTCAACCTCGTGGGCGCCAACGTTCGCCAGTGGTACGACGACATGCCCAAGGTGCAGCGCGTGCGCCGCCTCGAGCAGCGCACGGGCGCAGCAACGCGCCTGGGTCAGGGCCTAGGGCAAGGCCAGGGCCAGGGGACCAGCCGGAAAACTCTCGAGAGCTACATGAAGTCGGCCTCGTGCATCGTCTGCGACGTCAAGATGAAGGTCGAGGGCACGCTCTGTGAGCGGTGCCGCAGCGACGTCCCGCCGAGCATCCTCAACCTGCAGAGTCGTCTTATGCGCGAGGAGAAGAGATATCTCGACGTCGTCAAGCTGTGCCGTAGCTGCGCGGTGCTGCCGCCTCTCGATGACGTGGCGTGCGATAGCAAAGATTGTCCCGTCTTCTACTCAAGGGTCAAACAGGCCACCAGACTAGCTGCCGAGAGGAGCGTGCTTGAGCCGGTGATCAAGGAGCTCGGCGCCGAGGCTGCCAGGGCGGCTTTGGAGTGGTAGGATGTTTTCGATCGGTGCGAGCCATACGCTTTCTAGATAGACAGGGAAGGTCCGTTGATTTTGTTTGCATAGCGAAGCGAAGATGGAAGGGTTTTTGTCCTTGAGCCACATGCGGTCAATGCAGGAGTTATGATCATGAAACGGTGCGAAGTCGGCGGTACAGCGTTTCCACCCCTGTGACGTGCTTCCACGGTGAGCGTGTACGATGGTAATGTCAAAAGAATCCGAGGTTGCATCTCAAGCTGCTAATCGTATTCGACATTCGTCCAGTCATCCCCGCCCCAAGCTATGATAACTAAATCAAATAATACCATGACTACAGGATGTGCACCCAGACTCCTAGTCCTGACTGGCATGCAGCTCTCGTCCCTAAGTCAATGTTGAAACAAAATGATCCCTGAAGCCTCAATTCCATATTAACTCCTCAGCTCAGCCGGCACCGCAGCTAGATCTCGTTTCGCTTCAGCAAGCGGCGCCTCGGATTCGCCGCCTTCCTCCTCGGTGTTGTCCAGCCATCCGGAAAAGTCATCGTCATCATCTAGTAGTACTTGAGCCGGCCGCGCCTCGATAGGACTGTCGGCCTTGCGGCTGGCTGAATTGGTCAATCCAGTGGTTGATCTCTGCTTCACCATCGGCGTAGCGTGGTCTTCTTCGTCTGGTGTCATACGTGGTTGGCCCAAGGAAGATCCTATTTCCTGCACCCCTGCCTCCCAAGTTGGCGCACGACTGGTGTAGTCTGTCATGTCCTCGTTCAAGGGGGTGGAGGGTTCCGACTCCATCGGCGCCGCGACGACGAACAGGTCGTTGTTGCCCGTTTCCTCTCGTATCTCTCTGTGTCTTCGCGATGGCATGGGGGGTTTCCGTTCGCCTGCGCTGTTGATGCTGTCATCTGAATGCGGGCGATCGGGCAGTGATGGCGTGGGCTCCGGTTTCCGTTTTGACGGCACGGGTATCGGAGTCACCTTTTGCGTCCTGTCAGGAGGAGGGAGCGGGGTCCCGGGCGGCGGCAGCGGCCTGCCCCGACCCATCGGTTTGTTGAGATCTAACGGGGGCTCCGCTTCTCCTGAGATGCCATTCCTTGCATCTTTGTGCCTCTGTATCGCGTTCCAGCCCCATTGCCTTGCCTGTGTGGCCGCGTTCGCGACGGCGGCGAGCGTGACCCGCTTCTGATTTTGTTCTTCGCCCTGAGAGCTGCTGTTTGCAGTATCCGACGCGGTATCGCGGCGGAAGAGTCCTGTAAGGGAGCCCGGGTTGCTCCGCAATGAGCCGGCGTTGCTCCTGAGCGAGCCAGCATTGCTCTTCACGGATCCCTTGAGCGAAGACGCGAAAGAGGCAGCTGAGCTGTTGGGGTCTTCGACAGGCCCCGCAGACTCAAGAGAGGAGGCAGTGCTACGACGACCAGCTGCAACAGGCGTCTTCTCTGTCTCTTTCTCGTTGTCCGTGTCCTCGCGTGAAGACGGGGACGAGGGGTCGGTGTCCTTGGCCAAGGATGCAGGACGCGCTGGTGAAGCTGTGGGTGTCTGCCCGGTTGAGCCCATGGAACGGGCCGACAGGGCTGCCATCATGGCCGAGGCGTTATCCGAAGGTGGCGAGGACGGCTTAAACACATCAGCGTGGGCAGTGTCGGTGCCCACGATAGGGTCTGACGGGCTCGACATCGAGTTGGACCTCAAAGTCTTGGGACGTGAGCTGGTAGGACTGTTCGGCTCGATACCCGTCGACACACCAGCTGTCGAGGGTCTCAATGTCTTTCCTGCCAGCTTCCGGCCGAGGAGGCCTGTCGGTGGCACGTTGTCCGATAGGGGAGCGCTGTGGCTCTTCTCGACAGGCTTTAGGTCAGCCGTGTCAACATCGCCGGATTCTTCCAAACGATTGACCGTATCCACATCTCCTTCTTGTGCCAGGTTTGTCTCCACACTATGTGAGACAACGACGGCGTCATCGCCTTGCCAGATGCCTCCTCGCCACTTTTTATGTTCCGTATTGAAAAAGGGGACATCGTCCCAATATGGTTGAACGAGCGTCTCGGCGATGACCTCCTTCATGCGGTGCTCAATCTGCCGCAAAATGAGGGTGTACGTGATCTGTCTTGAGCTGACAATGGGCTCGATGGTCATCTCCATCTTGGGCATAGTCTGAAAGGAGAACCAGACGCGGTTGCTCGGCGGCGGCTTGATCTTGAAGAAGACGTGGCCGTCAAGCTTGTGCAGCACGACAGCCAAGACGAGATCGACCTCGCGCACCTTGAAGCGGGAGCCCAAGTCGAGACGAGCAGTGGCAGCCACCTCCATGCGAAAGTTGCCGTTGTATTTCACGTCAGCCTCCATGCCACATTCCCCCTCGACGCTGAGATCCTTGTGTCGCGGATTCAGCAGCACGGGCGCTGAATCGCCTGTATCGATTTTGCGAATGACTATGTTGGTCAGGAAGGAGGGTCGTTTCACTCGGGCTATCTTCTTGGTGAGCCTCTCGCGGATCATGTGCTCCAAGTCGGCCGTCTTGTACAGGCCGAGGAAGACGCGCCCAATCATGGCGTTGAGCCAGCGCGTTTGTTGGTGGTCTTCTGAAGAATGCAGCTTCTGTACCAAGGTGATGATGTTTTTGACGTCAAATTGCTGCGGCTTGGGTGCCTTCTTGTCCAGGTCCATCTCGGAGTATTGCTCCTGATGGCGAAGGAGAGCAAAGTAAAAGTCCTCCTTGGCCGAGCCGTCTTCGGAGAAGAGATAGAAGGGCTTCGATAACTGGCCGTCGGCGCCGACATCATCCTTTCCGACGTGACAGACAAAGAGCATTCCTCTTGATGAACAGCTCGCCCTCTGGCGTGACGTCTCCTCCCGAGTATATGCTGATGGTATGGTGGGCCAGCGAGACGACATGGCGCACTTCGATCTGCTCCTCGTCGTCGAACAGCATGATGTGGCCGTGCCTGTGATTGCACAACAGAGTCAGCTACCGAGGCACCCAGCAGCGAAAAAGACAAGTCGGTGCGTCAGAGTGTCAGGGTTGGGGGATGGACTAGACCGACCTCAGCACGACGTAGAAGACATTGCCGGCATTCTTGGGTCGTTGGTTCGCGGCGGCCTTGGTCTCGAGCGGTCCAGGTCCCTGCTTCCTGTCAAAGATGCTGCGATACATGGCCTGGTAGACGCTCTGGCTGGGGGCGGCCACGGTGGCGGATCCGACGGGGGTGGCTCGCTCGATGGGGCGGGCGTTGATGCCCATGGGCGTGTACTCTCGACACACGGCAAAGTAGCCAGAGGCTACCTCGTTGTCCTGCGTCGACCTGCTCTTGGGAGCATCCTCCGCCTCGGTCTTGGCCTTGTGGGCCGTCCTCGCCCCCTCGAGGCCGGCCAGGTCGTCGTCAGGCTGGACGATGGCGTTGGGGTCATGTCGGTCGGCGTCGACATCTTGTCGGTAGGGCAGGGTGTAGTGGGCGTGTGCAAGGACGGCCACGACGACGAGAGGGAGGAATGTCAGGCCGCCCAGAATGTAGGCGAACAAGAAGCCGGTGAAGCTGCCCATGAATACTTCGGACCTAGGGCCAGTGTCGATGACGGTGCGCGAAGGAGGGCGCGCTAGCAACTGGTCGGGAGGCCAGGTCGTCGAGGGGCCGACGATGGCATCTGTACCGAAGCAGTGCCAGCTGGATAAAT